ATTTGCATTCACGTAGGGGCACACAGGAGTCAGATTCTTTTTAAGTTTATGATTATCATCACCCTCAAAGACATTTTCATATTGAGTCTCCCATGTAGAAAGGTGGCATCGCAGCTGTGTGCCTCTGCTGCCTGAGGCTGTAAACTGTTGACACGTTATGATGTAAAAATTTTAAGAAAGACTGACTCATAATTGATAATATAATATAATAAGTAAGAATAAATATGGACCATGAATTTTACATTCAGCCTCACAAATATTGTAGTGCCTTCATGATAAAGATGAAATATTAGGAGAGCCAAGGCTGTATTCTGTAAGTGTAACGTTTCTTTATTTTAGAATTGGTTAAAAATTGTGATAAAAGAGTTAAAAAATGGTAATATATTGGTTAAGAAGTGCAATATTGGACACATCTCTTTATATTTGGTTCATTTATTTTGGTATGTTATGGTTAACCTAATGTCAAATGAACAGAATAAGAAAAAGAAAGGCTCAGTTCCAATATCGTCAAAAGTTAGGCAACCATTCGACATTCATTGTTATCTTCTTTGAATATTTTCTTTTTTAAGCTTAGTTTAGCTTAGGTTTTATTTTTCTCATTCAGCATTCTTCTTTATACCTAGCCCGTCCCAGACTTTCAAGACGTTTCAAAGCCGAAGAAATTATCCAGGCCTTATACGCATGTAGAGAAAAGTCCACCGAATCAGTGCTCATTGTCAAATCTTCAGTCTTAGGCTACATTTGTATATAAATAATTTTAGTTGGTTTTTTGTATAGAAATTTGATCCCCCATAATTAATTACAATCCTTTTTACTATGTAATGTACATATCCCATAAAATAAAACTATGCAATATTTGTAATATGTTGCTTTTTTATATATCCCCAAGTGTCTTAATTATGATCATACGAGAAAATATATCATTGAAAAACATCCTTAATTCAGGCATTTGATGATGTCTTCTCACACAAACGATTCACATCTGAAAGACAGAAAATTAAGCATTATAATGCATCAATGTAAAAAGAGACATGGGTCTTGATTCAAACAAAGAGAATTTATTTGCATCTAATATGCACCATAATGTTGGATCCTTAACCAGACATGAATGCCTAGTACAGTGTTTCCAGATGGAATATGTACTCAGGAGGTGCAATGAACAAATTCCAATATGCCACTGATTACAAAGCCTTATATATATATATATATATATATATATATATATATATATATATATATATATATATATATATATATATATATATATATATATATATATACCATAGAATAAGCGGGTGAGTTTAAAAACCCAATTGTCCATAATATTTCCTTCGTTAAAAGATATATATATATATATATATATATATATATATATATATATATATATATATATATATATATATATATATATATATATATATATATTATATATATATATATATATATATATATATATATATATATATATATATATATATATATATATATATATATATATATATATATATATATATATATATATATATATATATATATATATATATATATATATATATATATATATATATATATAACGAAGGAAATATTATGGACGATTGGGTTTTTAAACTCATCCGCTTATTCTATGGGGTAGCAATTATCGCTGAACACACGCTCATACATCCATGCTAATTTAATGTTGAATAACGATTCAGTCCAGCCTTTGTAACGAGGACTCAAATCACGTTTATGGTTCATTGCCGAAAAACACATTCATGCAACAATGAATGCGGTGATGAATGGCCATACCGATGATGAGCAAAAAAGAATAATTTGTTAATAGGGGGCGTATGGAATTAGGCTAATGAAGTTGGTCTTCTCACTAAGATATAATTAAGTTAATGATTTTTCTATTTTGACCCAACTTTTTATTTTTTTCCTCATTATCCTTGATTTACATTTGTAATTAGTAATTCGGCGCCATATGACCATGCTGTTGCGGCACCAGGTGTTATTTTCACTAACCAGTCAATCAATCAATCATACTAACAGAGCAGAATCTATAGGTTATTTAGATTTAAACCCAGGCGATTTCGCCAATGATTGGGTTCTTTTCTTTGCCTAAGTGGTTCTCAACCGATACATATATATATATATATAATATATATATATATATATATATATATATATATATATATATATTATATATATATATATATATATATATGTATGTATGTCTGTATGTATATAGGTACTGGTATATATATATGTATATATATATATATATATATATATATATATATATATATATATATATATATATATATATATTATTATATATATATGTATATATATTATATATATATATATATATATAATGTAATATATACATATATATATATGTATATATATATATATATATATATATATATATATATATATATATATATATATATATATACAGGTTGACATTAAAATATCAGGCCATTGATAATCAGGTTCGTTCATAATTTCTGCATTAATTTTGGAGCGCATTTTCAAATTTACCAGATTGACTAACTGTTTTATGGAGTCGCCATTTTCTCATGTCTTTACTGTTGTATAGCCTAATGATAGATTCAGCAAGGAAAAGAGGTGGTGTAAAGTCATCGCACGTTGTCGCAGAGAAAGTGGGAATACTAACAAAAAAGTTATATATATAATATATATACATATTGATATATATAATATTCACACACACACACACACACACACACACACACACACACACACACACACACACACACACATATATATATATATATTATATAATATATATATATATATATATATATATATATACCACATACAGGTTGACATGAAAAAAATCGGCAAATTCCGTACCAGAGGAGAGCCGGATTTTCGAAACTGGCGGATCTTTTATGATCATATATGCTGTATATATTTAACAGAAAATAAACACGTGCACAGGCCTTTAAAGAAAGAAACCCAGTCACTAAATGAAAATGAATGTGTGTGTGTGTGTGTGTGTGTGTGTGTGTGTGTGTGTGTGTGTGTGTGTGTGTGTGTGTGTGTGTGTGTGTGTGTGTGTGTGTGTGTGTGTGTGTGTGTGTGTGTGTGTGTGTGTGTGTGTGTGTGTGTGTGTGTGTGTGTGTGTGTGTGTGTGTGTGTTTTGCTAATATGGAGTACATGGTATTTTAGTAAACAAAAACTGTAATAGAAGAACAACATGCAAACTGATCAAGAGAGTCAAATTTACAGCGCGGAAATGTATAATTACATCACAATATAAAATTAAAGGTTCCGAAATTTCTTCGCTTATTGGCAGTGTCAGTGTAAACAAACCAAGTAAATCAGAAGTTGGCGCTCAGGAAAGTAGTACCCAGCTACTCTATCGTATATTAGACATTTACACGTATTTTCAAGTTAATTTACCACATTTTCTCTTCAAACGATATTAAGTACCATTGCGTTTCATTTATTTAACAAATTTCTGTAAACTATTCATATTTTGTGCTCTGAAATTTCGTGTGACGTCAACGTTTGGCTCAATAATATGGGATTGGCCGTTGGATCTGAAGTTGTGTCGCCGTGGTCGCGCGCGGTATTCGAACTGCTGTAGTGAGTGTAATGAACCGGTGAATTGGTTTGTCAGTGGTGTGATGTATAATACAAAACAATACGAGGATAAGTTGGAAACACTGAATTGGTGCAGGATCATGGACTCATTATAAAAAACAACAACAACAGAGTGCCCCAAGTGCAAGCAACTGCAAATTTGACATCAAACAAATCTTCCGAGCTTCACCTATCCTCTAGTTGATTAGGTCAGGTATTTATTCATATTTATTTTTGGTTAGTGTATAATAAAGTTCGGCGATCGTAAGGGGGATCAGGGAGCGTAGCCCCCGGGTAAGGAAGGCATATCGTTCGCATGGCTATCCTTATAGTAGTTTATTTGTTTAGGCTGAGATTCATTCGCTCGTTCATTCGCACAACACCGTGTCGAATCTTCCGAGGCCGAATCCTGGCTTTTGTTTACATTTTGCCCTTTTTTATATGAAATGCGATTCTTGGCTCGTTTATTTTTTAATTTTTGCACCTTCTGTTATTTTTGTTACGTTCAAATGATTCTGTTATTTTTTAAGTTACCTTCAAATACTTTTATAAAGATAATTTAGCTCGTCTTTACAAAAAAAAAAAAAAAAAAAAAAAAAAGTGTTTTCTTGACACAAACACACACACACATAAATGTTGTATGTGTATTTGTGTGTGTGTTTGTGTACGAGTATGTGTGTATATGTATTATGTATGTGTGTGTGTGTGTGTGTGTGTGTGTGTGTGTGTGTGTGTGTGTGTGTGTGTGTGTGTGTGTGTTGTGTGTGTGTGTATGTGTGTGTGTGTAGTGTATGTATGTATGTATGTGTATGTGTGTGTGGGTTTGTTTAACGACAAGCTAAACAGTTAGGGTGGTAGTAGGTTAGGTATCGAACAAAATTTTATATGTATGTATGTATGTATGTATGTATATATTATATATATATATATATATATATATATATATATATATATATGTGTGGTATTGTGTGTGTGTGTATATGTATATATACATGATGCATATATATGTGTGTGTGTGTGTGTGTGTGTGTGTGTGTGTGTGTGTGTGTGTGTGTGTAGTTGACTTGCAAACTGAGGAATAGGTAAGTTGGGTTTTATTCACAACTGCAAATACTGAAGAGGCAGTTTGTGCTCCACCTGAAGACTAGTCAAATACGATTGCTTCCAAATACGCGTACATGCTGACAAGAAGAAATAGGCTTAAAACAACGATAGATCACAGGGCGAAATTATCCAACTTCAAAATCAAGAATATGAAAAAAAAACTGTCAGGTTCGTCAGAACACAAATGACTGTTTTCGTACATGGGTAAAATGGGCATCACACACCTCCTTCAGGCTTGTTACCTCCAAATATCCGATCAGAAGAACAATGGTTAAAGTAGGAGAAATAAAACGCATTGGTGACATGTTTTATCGTACAATTATCTTTGATAATGACTACAGGTTTTCCTCACTGCATAACTAGTGATACAATACATGAACGTCCATTATGAGAATACTATATACAGAAATGTAGCTAATATCCTGTAATCTACTCTGCTATGAAGTAAAGAGCCGCGTTTTATTAGTACACAATACTTGAGAGATTTGTTTATCGTCAAAACAGTACAAGACCTATGCGTTATTTAGCTTTATTTCTACGTGAAGAAATGTCCTCGGTTGGTAGGACACTTAGATCATTATATTTTTTCTCTCTTTCCGTCCTTTCTTGAAAGTGCCTGAGGACCGCTTCGAGGGGGCTAAAGGGGCCTGAGCTGCGAGGAGTCTGCTACCCTCGGTAGTAGTCGTAGTCTTCCCTGGAAGAGAACGAATCTTAGTTTCATCATAACGCTTTTGATGAGTTTTTCTGTCGGTTGCGCACGCACTCGCGCTCGCATTCGCACACGCACACGCACACGCACACGCACGCACACACACACACACACACACACACACACACACACACACACACACACACACACACACACACACACACACACACACCACACACACACACATATATATATATATAATATATAAATATATATATATATATATATATATATATATATATATATATATATATATATATATATATATATATATATATATATATGAATATATATGCATACATGTATATATACATATACATATACATATATATAAATATATACATATACATACACAAACATATACAAATACATGCATGCATACATACATGCACACACACACACGCACACCTACATATACATATGTATATATGTATGTATGCGCGTGTGTGTGTGTACTTATGAATTTACAAAGCTCAACACTTTAATGCCCTGCCGAACTTACGCGTCGCAAGCGGGCCCTACGTAGCCGCGGTCGCAGTGACACACGTTGGGGCCGATGCACGTCCCTTGGTCGCCGCAGCCGTTTTCACACACGTCTGCGGTACACATACATATATTCTGATTTAACATTGTCTTAGAATGTTTTCAATTTTTTTTTTATAGTAAGGTTACTCTATATTGTGTCAACTTTACTTTAGTCGCGTAATGAGATATTCTATTATCTTTATTATTAAGAATATTGCAAATGTAGTAATTTTTAAACTGAGTTTTCCTACTAAAGATTTTTTTTTTCTTTTTTGTCAAGCAGAATTTGAACAAATATAACTTTGATGCGGTTCTAAGTTATATGTGAATAATTGTTTATACAATTTTTAGAGAAGTACGTTCTAAGATCTTGAAAACTTGTGTTCTATTGATAGAGTCATTAATTTTACATTGATATCAAACGACAAAAGACAGAAAACATGTCCACAATGATACCGATTAATCCACAATCCTAATATGCCATTCTCGAGAAAGTAAGATATGCTGAGGATTAATGGGTACTATAGAAGAAGCTTCTTTTGGTTCACATCGCAATAGGAAGTAATTTAGTAAATTCTGAAAGTTCCTATAAATTACATCCATGCCAGACCTGCTGTCTCATATGTCTCACATTTTGCATCTTTGAAAATTTGTTACGGAAGATTTTGCTAAGGTGATGATACCATGGCACTCCCTATTTCATTTTAAACAGTGTAGGTATGGATGATGATACCTTTAGTCAGAGGTGCTCAGATGAGAATGTCTTAAGGAGTCCACGCATAGTAGAACTTTGTGTGACACTTAAAGAATCATCATGGACTGACTGTGATGCAAAGTTTCGTAATTTCATAAACATGAAACTAGATTTTTTAAAAGTAAATGCTATTGTTTTCATCTGATAGGTTTATAATATACAAATAAAATCCTAACCAAACTTTAAGCAATATATACATTCTAGCAAACACTGAAGCCAAAATACTTAGAAAAATA